TGCTTGAAGGATTGAGACAAGGCATTTGCGTAATGGAAAAATAAACCAGACAAAATGCTTCCAGAAAACCTCAGAGTGCCAGGTGGCTCAGGATGTTAGTTCAGAAGTGTTGTTGGCCTCCTGGGTCTACAGATCTGGGTGTACTCCTATCAATCACAATAGGCGACATGAGAGCAGGGATTCTGTTCAAGGCTCTGCAGCTGACTAGAGCATCAGCGATTCCTGCTCCACAGCTCGACTCGTCAGGTGAACCTCAGCCATGCTGATCCCCAGAAGGACCTCTCAGGGGGAAGATTGAGCCCCTGTTAGCCAGAGTCTGGCTGATTCTTTTTCTGGAAACTTTTTTCCTCAGAGACGCATAGCTTTACTGCATCTCAGGTGTGTGACTTAGCATAGCTAAGCATAGCTGATCTGGGTAACACACACAGAAAAGACATTACAGCTTTAGAAAGAGCAGAAGAGCAATGAGAAAGATTCCTTGTCTCAGGCAACTGTCATAACTGTACAATGCAAAGCAGCTAAACCTCTTCAATTTTGAACATTTAATCCAGCTGTAGTTATCAATCCTCTGAGATCCTCTCACTCCAGGCATCATTTGTTGTTTTTCTTTGCTGTTTTGCGAAATAGGAATGCAGATCAAACCATGGTGTGGTCTTCAGTCTGCATTAATATCACAGTGAGGACTGATACTTACGTTAGCTTGACAGCAAGGAAAGTAAGCAAGTAAATAATGCAACAGAATGGTCAAGATATTAGTTCAATCTTTGACAGGATTTCACTAAGAGATCTGGCTGATATCATTGTATTTCATTAGAAAAACACTTCACATATGTTATAAGTACATCAATGATTGCACAACAATTTCTGGGAATAATGATCTGAAATAAGGGGTTCTGTTGCGCCAACAAATGTGGGAGGAGGGGGCTTAACTCATGCGATCTCCTTCCAGTGTTACTCTGGCATGGCAAGCCACACCAGTCTGAGGTGGGGGGGCTGGGGGTCCGAGGTTAGTACACAGCGCTTGTGGTCATCTGTCCTCAACCGCCACCCCAACTCCACCCGGCCTGGAACTGACCCAGACACCTCGCCCTCCTCCACCCGTTTCACAAACATTGCGTGACTCAGAACCAGAGGCCCTGACAATGTTTTATTTTGTGCTCCAAAGGGCCAGATGTGTGACATAGCACTCTTGACAGCCCTGGGATATTTACAGCTCTCTACTGAGACCTCTGGGACATGGTCTGAAGTCACTGGGCCATGACAGTTAGGTAATGAAATCCAGGCAGGCAGGAAGGCTTGGTCATGGTTCAAAATGGTTATCAGGGAGCATTAAAAATTTCATTGCAAGTCTAAATCAAAACCATAGTGACAGCAGGGCCTGGACACTCTGCACAGCTGTGCCAGGCTGAGGAGAAGACAAGGACAGATGTGCTGAGGGGTGGGGCTGTGTTGAGGAGAAGGACAGATGTGCTGAGGGGTGGTATATTCAAGATCTTAATGCACAAGTATTGCTCCCCACCTGAACTATGTCATGGGATAGACTCTCACTCACCTTCTGTTCTGAACTTAATCAGGGGCTCCTTAGTAAACAGGAATAGACTGAAACATCATACCATTATGGGGTTTTCCTGGTGTGTTGACCCTAATCCCAACTAAGAGAGAGTCTTTGACATCAAAATGAAGGTTGTATGGACAAATGTTCCAGTGTATTAGGCTGTAATAGTTGAGTTGGCAGCAAAAAATATAGCAGTATTTAAAACTAAAAGTTCCAGATTTAAGTAATTTAATGACAACAATCAATCAAAGTATATTTATCAAATGCACAACAATACAGAATGCAGCAGTAGTTGCTGGCAATGAAATGTCAATGTCACCACAATATGGTGGCCAGTCACAGCTCATTGACTGTCCAGGAAAACATCGAGGCATCTCCGCTATCAGCACAAGGCATGCTGCAGACAGCGTTTGGTTGAATAGTGCCCTCTGGTGGCCGCTCTGTGTAGAACTCAATCAGTGTTCGTCTACCCACTTCTGAGGAACAATTGTCAATAAACTGCAGAAAAGATCAATTCAGAGGGAAAAAAGAAACGAGACATCCGGTGACACAGCAGCCAGTCCTTCGACATTGAGGGGCCATGACACCTCACAGTCATTCCGTGATGTGTCTTTATCAATAGTGTGATTAGAACTAGCAGCTCCTAGAAAAGGATTTAAGTAACATCTGTAAAAGGTTTAATACTGCGGAGGCGTAGCGTATTGAAGAGGAGTTTGCCAAAAGATGATGTTTTTTGCTTCTCTTCCTGCAGACTGACAGAAGGGCGGGAAAACGGATTGGCTGTGATGTCACCAGCATGGAGCAAAGCTGCGAACACAAACTGGAAACAGATGTTCAGTTTGTAAAACATCTGCAGTTGTGTCGGCATTCTCCATTGCTCTGAAATATTTCCACTCCCTTCCCTCTAAAAACCAAGGTAGGGGAGACAGAAGATGCTTTACTGGGACTCCATTTCTTGCCCTCAAGTTCCAGACGTCTGATTTCTGAAGCCCATATCTAGGGATAATGATGCAAAACCTCACGCAGGTGGACCTGCCTGCCTGCAGGCCGGACAGAGCGCACCCGAGCCAGCTGCTCCTGCTGCTCCTGCACACGCCTGCCACTTTCACACCTCCTCACAACCTCACGAAACTCTGCCACGGTCTGCAGGTGTTCTCCTCTGAATTCCTCGGGTCCCTGTGAATGAGAGAGCCGGGAGGACGGACTCGGATTGCTGTGCCGTACCAGACTCGGGGACGAGCGACGAGAGACCTTCTCACCGCTGGACTCGGAGTGATCTGAGACAGTCGTCATGTGAGCCCCGTTCCCGTCTGCAGAGCGTTGCATGAAGTCGTTTACATTGATTAAAAGCCTTATTGTTGTTGCAGTTGATGAAAAAAATGGTTTCCTGGCAACTGCTATGAAAAAGCACAAGGACGGAGCTGGCATCCCCCTAGGATCAGTGTTGACGAAAATGTGCTGGTAGGAGAGCATGAGAATGAGAAATCACGCACAGCCCTGCGTCTGCTGACTCAGCCTATTCCAGCCTTCGTGCCCAGCAGCAGCAGGAAGCTGACCAGGTGCTCCGAGAAATCCGGAGTGACTCACCAGGTCAGAATTGGATTAAAAGCCCACTTAAACCAGCAGGAAAGACATGAAGCTCCCAGGTTGGGTTGGCGGGATGTGATGGCAGGAAGGAGCATCATGGCTCAGGTGAGCCGGGTTACTCCGCACGAAACTCACACTCCCTCTCCTCACCCCCACCCCCCCCCACGCCCTCTAGCTGCCCCTTTTCCTCCCCCAAGTTTTCCCCTTGAGTGCATTCCTTGTCTCCGCATTCATTCCCACATCTCCTCACCTCTCTCCCTGTCGCTCGCAGCTGCCGGGCGGTGTGGAGGATCATGGGATGGGAATGTAGTTATTCCTTCTCACCCCAACAGCAATACTGTCCTGTCTGCAGCTCCCAGCCCCCCACCTTCAGCGCCCTCGTCTACCACACAGACCTCGGGCACTAACTGTGTGCTTGTGGTTTACCACAGTCTGGACGCATCATGCCATAACTCTCTGTGCTTCACTGCGCCGTCACCATGATCTCACACCACTTACTTTGCTTTTGCTGTGCTACACTTGCCGTGCAGCACTCCTTTTAAGAACTGTTGTAATGTAGCAGAGATTGCATGACTTTGCATGAGCGTGTACTTATTGTGAGATGTTGAGTGTGAAATAAAATTTATTTTGATTTAAATAATCAAGATCCCCCCCCTCAGTGATAAAGCTGGGACGAGGGCTGTATTCGCCGTGCCGCTCAGAAAACAGGCTACAGCTGGAGATCACAGGTCTGAGAAATCACACCCACATGCGCTGCGTCCAGGCCTGAGTGCCCCTTTGTCCAAGTGGAGTGACCGGCCCCCCTACATAAGCACACATGGTTCTTTCACTTTAATTGACTTCACATGACAGAGATCATCTGATTGCAGCCTTGAGGTTTATTCCCTGCTGAAAAGAGAAGAAAAGAAACGTTTCGGCTGTGGAGCCATCTTCGGGTGTGGAAGAAGATGGCTCTTCCCTTTTCAGCATGGAATGAACCTTTACTTGTTTACTCCTGCAGGCACGTTTGTGTCACTGCCAAAGCAGGAACCTGATTCTTATTTCCAGCTGCAGTATTACTGCTTTGTGGTTCAAGGTTATGCATTTTCCTGCTGCTGATGAGACATCAGTCAGGAAGGATGCGTTTAGTCTTTTGCTGAGGCACATAGGGCTTGTGCAAGGCTGTCGAGGACCAGAGACTGCTGGCAAGCTCTCTTGCAATGCACCAAGACAAGCAAGCAGCGGCTGAAGGCTGGCTGTGTTTTAAACCAGCGGAGAAGACGTGAACGGCCTTCTAACTACCAGTGAAATTCCGTGCATATAGTAGTGTCAATGGCTGTGGTGCAAATAGGGAAGTTATTTTGGGAAGGCCCATGCACAAAAAGTGTGCCGGTTTCCAATGCTAGAAACCTAGTCTCGAAATGCAATGTTATTCTCCTATTGATGTTTAACTTACTGTCTGTACCATCTGGTACATGTGAAAGCAAATTATTACTGAGTGTGTTCACTGCAGGAACCATTTCTAACAGGAGAAGTAAATTCCCTTCAGAGGACACAGAGCTGTGACTCAGAGATCCTTTCCATTTTGTCCAAGCCGTTTTCTTTCCATTTGCCCAAATCCCCGCCAGGATGCAGAGCTGGAACAAGTAGGCTGGCCCAGGCCAGGGACACGGACAGACTGCTGGCACTGCGGTCCTGAGGCGGCTGAAAGCTGAGGAACCAAACCCTCCTCAGGTGTGAGCAGAGCAGCTTCAGGTTTCGGTCACCAAAATATAGAACTTTAAAAATACTCTAAATATTTTTAACTCATTTCAAAGGACTGAAAGGAGCCATTCAGATACACGAGAACTATTAAAGAACAGGAGCAAGAGGCCCTGGGTGTGTAAACAAGGCTGTTTAATGACCTCAACAGGCACAACTACCAAACTCCAGGAGAACTCATCCCTGTGTCAGACATCCTTTTATTGTGCAGCGAAGTGTCATTAGTTACAGAGCATTTCCTCCAAAGCAGAGCCTCCTGTCATGGACAGTTTTCATCTTGGGACGATTTATTAATTAAAGCATCAGTCACAGGCCCTCATTCCTTAAGAATGCTAGGAAACATGGTTGACTGGCTCAACTGTTCTTTTCGATTAAATGGAGTATACAGTAGTAACTCGTAGTGTAAACATGCAGTCAGTAGACAGTGCTACAGGGAAGTATTTCCTTTTTCCAATTAATCATAACTAGGTTCGGATTTAAGCCGTTTAAATTTATTGTTCTTTTTTCTAAGAAATTCGGGGGGAAGTTGATAAACAGGGCTGTTTCCAACAGAAGCGCTCTGTGGCTGTTGCTATTTTTTAGCTGCCACTGCCCCCTGGTGGTTCTTGTGAGTGGTGCAGTCTCTCCAGACCAGCCCCTCTGACCTCACTTGGCTCTGCCTGACAGTTCAAATCAAAGCAAAGCTTGAATCACTCAGCAAAGCTGACGCAGCATCGACACTTAGGAAGTGCAGGTGGAAAAAAATTCTATCTGAAACATGGAAAAATAAAAAAGTATTCCCATGTGCCTCTTGCTGTGTCTTTTACAAAGACGCAGATTTAATAACTGTTGGCTGCCTGCGCTCTAATGAGTGAGGGTGCGAGTGAACACAGAAGGGCCTCGGCTTCAAGAAGGGAATCACCCAGGTGAAGCAGCTCATAGCCTCCATTCAGAAAAACTTGACCTGTGAAAGAGAGACTCGCAGGAGCGAGCTCAGAGCAATGCTCCACGCCGGGCAGCTGGTAATAGGGGAACCCCAGTGAGACTAGAGGGAATCTCCAAGGTTTTAGAGGGGTCACTGCATTGTGCCTGGTCCTACACAAGGATGAGCTCATGATTTACTTTAGAAAAAGATAAGTATAAGTTATAAACTTATAAAAAGTTATATTTACGTGTGGTAAAGCACAGTGAAACCATGGTAACTCTGAGTCACCGCTGGGTGGGAGTTTAAACCAGCAAGCCCAGTTTGTTCCCAGCCCGTGCTCTCCTGGACTGTCAGGGGCTGTGCTTTAGGAGAAACTGTTGGGCTCAAAAAGCTTGATGACCACGGCCTCCTGCGGCGCGAGCCACAGTGTTTCCAGAGAGATCGCCCCGAGCCGGTCCATCCCCGAACTGGCCACAACCACGCCGCGGGGGGGCAGGCTGGCGGCCCACCCCGGCTCCAGCAGGCCCTGCCCAGGGCCGAAGTTGAGGAGCACCAGGAAACGCACACAGGCCCACGAGCGCAGGAACCCCAGCACGGAGCAGGAGGGGGAGGAGCAGACGCGGGACCTGGGGAGAGGGGCGAAGCTGCCGAAGAGCAGGGCGCCCTCCCGCGAGCGGGTGTGGCTGAGGGAGCGGAAGAGCTGCAGCTGGGAGCACCTGGCCTGCCTCCGGCCCTGCGGACGAGAAGGAAGAGCTCAGAGACCAAGCAGCTCCCCCGCCAGGCAAACCCAAACTCCCCGAGCAGAGCACTGGGACTGTGCCCCTCTTCTAGCGCTGATCGCGCAGGGGGACACTGCTAGGGTGACTGTGCGCTCCAGGACTCTCAGGAGCCCTCGAACCCCTGTGGCAGCAGGCCCTTGCCACTCGCCCAGGCTGTGTGTGGCAGGAGCAGATCGAAACCAGGGCCTGACTCGCTGCACCAGTGTGGTGTCCCCGCATACCTGAGCTGAAGAATTCAATCCGCAAGAAGGGTTGCACATGAGAGGAGGGCATTCAGCCCATCTAGCTCATCTGGTTTTCAGGAACACATGGATCTGACAATCTCATCCAGCCCTCCTTGAAAGACGCAATCGTATTGGCTTGAGCAACACAGACAGTTACAGTTCGCTTGTTCCAGGCTCTGTGTAAAGAAGTGCTTCCAACAGTATTTCCAGTTTTCAGTGTGATGGCCACACTTGCTGATCCCTGGTTGACGTGCGTCATCCAGTATGAGTGACAGTAGAAGATGAAAAACTCCAGACTCCACTCACCTCCACTGAATCCACCGATGGCGCCCCTGTACAATCTCCTGTTTCTCCGGATCTCGGCAGACAGCCCCAGTCCATGGCGGTGAGCCAGGCATCAGTGGTGCCGTTCTTCAGGGATGCCAGCGAGACAGAGAAAGAGGGAGGTTAGGTGATTGTCTCCTCCTCTCCACTGGGCACCATATTGAGCTCCGACTTCACCTTCGATTGGCCAAAGCCAGCCTCGTCTCCGTAGAGGACAACGGGCGTGCCGGGCAGCGTGAGGACCAGGACGGTGAGGAGTCTCTGCAGCTCCCCCGATTCGGACGCCAGCTGTCCCACTGCAGGAGCCCCCATCTGAAACACAGCCCCTCCACACAATCAGTCTGGAGCGGCTTCCCTACCACTGAGAGAACTGAGGCTTCCCAACCGTGTCACACAGCAGGTATGACGTCACGGTCCTGCCAAGCTCACCGTCCAGCCAGGCCACGGCTCCTGCGGCCTCTGCAGCACGGTCTCCACGGCGACGGCCACTTCCTGTTCGGTGAGGTTGTGCTCCGCAGTCGGCAGAAGGGGGCGCACGGTGAGATCAGCCAACGAGCTGTTTCCTGCTGGGCCTGGGTCTCCGAGCACGGACTGCACAGCGGCGTCAGCGCGCCACACCACCACGATCCTGCACGCAGCGCAGCATGGGCAGGGCTTACAGACGAGCGCATCAGCTGCACTGCCATGTGCAGAGCCAATAGGCACACACATTAAGACAATTGTCTACTTTCAAAACCACATTGTTATGAACTGCCCTTTAAAGGCAAGAGCAAAATCATAAATAAAAAATCCAGCAGCCTGGGTCAGATCACAGCAGCCGAAAGTACCTCTCGTTGTCCTCAGAGCTGAAGCGCTTCACCTCGTCTCTCCACTCCTGCAGAGTCTGCAACACAGAGGAACGTGACAACGAGCTGCCCGGCCCCCTGCTCCAGTCTCACCGGGAGCTGGGAGTAGATCATATCCTTAGGAGTAGGTAGGTAGGGTCCCCTTTTCGGGCCATAAAGGCCCAGAGGCAATGGGGGGGCAAGAGCCACCATTTTTCTCAACCATCCGACACTGGAGGTGGCTGTGATGTGGTCAGCAGCACGCTCCGGCCAGCCTGTTACCCCCAGAAGGATTAACCCAGGTCCTCATTCAGCAGGCTGAGTGACCTGGGAGCCGCCTGGAAGGAATAAGAGCTCCATCGCTTGCCCCTACCTGGGATTGATCCCGGGACCTTCCGGTCAGGAGCCGGACACCCCTGCTGTCTGAGCTGCCACGGCTCCATCAAGAGTGATTTAACGATTTTTTTTCTAATTTTTGAACTAGAGGACTTGAAAGTTTTCCACGCTAAACATCTTCTTACGGGTCTGTTCCATGCTGAAAGGAAAACTGCCTCTCTCACATCCTAAATCCGGAATCCCTGCATCTGCCTTGGCTCAGTCGGAGAATCATTGAAGACTTTTTCTAATCCACCACAGGAAATGAGAGAAGAGCTGAAAATGGAACATGGTTGTGAATATTATAGAAACATGGCCCTTATTCCTGTCCATACCTGCTCTGAATAGAATGGATCCGTGTCACATATTGTGAACCCAGCCAGCCCTCTCTCCAGCCACACCCGCAGAGCCCTCTGGGGAGAGAACACAGGCAACACAACACAGCGTCAGAAAGGTGCCTCTCACAGGCCAGGACACGGCACAGATCTGAGAGAGGACCGTCTCACAGGACAGGACACGGCACAGGTCCGAGAGAGGACCGTCTCACAGGACAGGACACAGCACAGCACAGGTCTGAGAGAGGACCGTCTCACAGGACAGGACACAGCACAGCACAGGCCTGAGAGAGGACCGTCTCACAGGACAGGACACAGCACAGCACAGGCCTGAGAGAGGACCATCTCACAGGCCAGGACACAGCACAGGCCTGAGAGAGGACCGTCTCACAGGCCACGACACAGCACAGGTCCGAGAGAGGACCGTCTCACAGGACAGGACGCAGCACGGCACAGGCCCGAGAGAGGACCATCTCACAGGCCAGGACACGGCACAGGCCTGAGAGAGGACCGTCTCACAGCCCAGGACACAGCACAGGCCTGATCCAGGTTCATTAGAAAGTTATATCTAACATCATGTTTATAATAGGGGTGAAATGGCAGCTTTTCAGAGCAGTGTTAATGACAGTCCAGGTCACAGCTTTGGGATGTTAGAATCC